CGCCTCGACACGGAGGATCAAGAGTGCTAGGCTAGAAAGCTCGGAGTCTTTTGGTAAGTGCTAGACTTAGCCCTGAAGCTCCTCAAGGAACGCTACTGACCGTGTGACATGGTATTTCCCTAGGCAGCCGAAAGTAGTGCGGTAGTACGTTTCTGGTTGATTCTATACTGTAGATTGGGCTTCTTGTTTTGACACCCACCCGTGTTGAATAGAGGAGGGTCGATGTACAGCACAGACAGAATCTTGATCTGGCTTGGCTCACACGGGCACATGGACCACAGCCGACGAGGCGGCGCGACATTCTCGGGAGAGTCAGCTCGGGGTGGGGGATCCGCTCAGGTCAGCGGAGGGGTCGGCGCGGAAAGGTGAAGGGTTTGCTGGCTGCGGCGGAGCGGAGCTGCCAGGGTCACTCCTGCGGGCCACTGCGATGGATGGGTGTCACTGGGGTTGGTTGGTTGGCGCGGACGTGAGGTAGGGCATGAGAGAGGTCTGGCATACTGGTGTGAGCTATAGTAGATCCCTGCCTTTGTTAGGCCGCCGTTATTCACGTAAGCAAGTCTAATAAGTTGGGCGCGTACATTTATTTTGGACTTAGTAAACAGCCCTAGATACCAGCTAGATCATTACGATTCGTACGCGTCGGGTTAGCCTCCTCGATTCTATTGGTTTTGCCCCCTACATAAGCTTTGCATTTACCATTGTCGCCGCAGAATCTTAAATAAGCTATTTCGAGCCTGTTGGCCTCAGCGACCATGGGTCAATGTCAGATTGTCGCGACGCGATTACGACTTAGGCGATAGGATCTCTTTGTCAGTGCCTCTCGCGTCTATGCTCGGGCGTGCGTCCAAGCATGCCTCCCAGGCCAGTCAACTTCTTCCATAGGTCAACGAATCTCCGGTCAACGCTAGGTCAAACTCGCGGCTCCACGTCGTGCTCCGCCTCCCCCGCGCGGTCCTCGCAATCCTCCACCTCCTCCTCGTCCTCCTCCGCATGTCAGAGCGGCATCGAAGGCGCAGCAGCGGATGAGGCGCGCCGGCAGCCGGTGTTGACGGCGGGCGAGACCATATCGCGCTGCCTCGCGACGCCCACCACCAGCCCCATCTGGCCGCTCAGCACGCCGCCCTGCTCCTCCTCCCCGCATGCCTCCCCCGCGTTCTTCTCCCCCTCATGGCGCCCGCTCCTGCCGCTCTCCACCTCCATCGCCACCACGTGCCTCGCGTCGCTAGGCGCGCCGTGCGCGCCGGATTTCAACGCGGGGAAGGAGACGCCGTGGTGCTTGGCGCATGGCGGCGGTAATAGGCCGGCAGGCGGAGCATCAGCGGTTGGAGCGGCGGATTCAGCGCGCGCCGCATGGGCGCTGCCGAGGATCACCTCCGCCGCGCCCTACGGCACGTGGCGGCGCGTGATGTCGTGCGCGCCGCCGCCCGCTGTTGTGATCACGCGCCGCCTGCACGACGCGCAGCTGCTGGGGCAGGTGCCCGGCCTCGCCTTCTGCTCGCGGCCCGTCGACGGCGACGCTGAGAAGAGGTCTGTTGGCGCCGTCTTGGCCCGATCTATATTCGCTCACAATTGCTGCTCTCTCCATTCGTAGAATACAGAGCTGGCGTGTTATTTTTGTGCCCTTTTCGCTTGGGGGTCTCAACTCTGTCATGTCGTGCTGTGCCATCGTTCCTTTTTTTGTTGTTGTTGAATTAGCTTTTCTTCTCTCGCCTTGTTCAAATGCCTTTTCCTTACCATTTCCATCGTGCTTCCTGCTGCGCGCGCGGCAGCAGCGGCGCCCCCGAGGCAGCGAAGGAGGAGGAGGAGGCGCTGCGGCTGGTGGCGGGCGCATGCGTGCTGCCGCACCCCGACAAGCTCGACCGCGGCGGAGAAGACGCCTTTTTCATCCTCCCCGACGTCTCCGCCTTAGGTCCGCGCTCGCTCCCCGTACCAACCCTCTCCGCCTTAGGCCCGCTCCCTCAGCATCCCTTCCCGCTTTAGGTCAGCGCTCCTCTCCCAGCCCCTCTGACCGCTTTCTAGCCCAACAGGCCGGCAAACCTCCTTCCCTTCCCCCTCTCTCTGCCCTTCCTTCCTACCCTCTCCATCCTTAGGTCAGCGATCCCTGTTACGCACCTGGTCAAACAGAAAGTGTTGTGGTTTTTTTTTTTTTTTTTTTCGCCCTTAAATACATCGTTGACCGTACGCTCCACCTCCCCATAGCACCTCACCCCTCCACTCTCGCTGCATTCTCGTGTCGTGGTCCGTCCCATCCCTACTCCTCCACTGCTCTTTTTCCAGCCCTATCGCCCGTGCTCGCGCCCCTCTGCCGTCCTAACCGTCTCCGTCTCCCCGCCCCCCTCCCGCTGCCGTCTCCGCCTCCGCTGCCCTTTCCCACGCTGCCCTTTCCGTCGCCGCCCTTCCCCCGCGCTGCCTTCCGCCGCGCTGGCCTTTCCCCGCGCTGCTCTTTCCCCGCGCTGCCCCACGCTGCCATGGCAGGGGTGGCGGACGGCGTGGGCGGGTGGGCGGACGTGGGGGTGGACGCGGGGGCGTACGCGCGCGAGCTGATGGGGGAGGTGCAGGCGGCCGTCAGGCGCGAGCCCAAGGGGTGCGCGGACACCCTCCGCGTGCTGACGTCAGCGCACGCCAAGACGCGCAGCCAGGGCTCCTGCACCGCGTGCCTTGTGGTGCTCACTGCTGACGTAAGAAGTGGATGGGGGGGAGTGGGGGGAGGGATGGGGAGGTTTGGGGGGAGGGATGGAGGGGTGTGGGGTGAGGGGCAGAGGGAAAGGGGGAAGGGATGAGGGGGGGGTTTGGGGGGATGAAGGGAGGGGTGTGGGGACAGGGATGGAGGGGTGTGGGGGGAGGACACAGTAAGAGGTGGATGCGTCACGTCATGTATTGATGTTCCATGACGTGCCCGACACTCCTCTTTCGATTCTCATATTTCTCCACCCCTCCCCCTCCCTCCCAAACCCCCACCCCAACACCCCCTTCCCCTCTCCATCCCCCACCCCCCAACATCCCTTTCCCCTGTCCTTCCCCGTCACCCCGCCCGCCCTTCTCCTCCCCCCCTGGCAGCGGCTGCAGGCGGCGAATCTGGGCGACAGTGGGTTTGTGGTGGTGCGCAATGGGCGCATCATATTCAAGTCGCCCCCGCAGCAGCACGACTTCAACTTCCCCTTCCAGCTCGGCAGTGACGGCGGCGACTCGCCCTCCGCTGCTGAGGTGAGTGAGCTGCACTGCGGTGGTGCAGAGACGAGCGGTGCAGATGGGTGCAGAGTGGTGAGCGGGGCAAATGGGTGCAGAGTGGTGAGCGGGGCAAATGGGTGCAGAGTGGTGAGCAGTGCTGAGGGGTGCAAAATTGGGGGGATGGGACAAGGGGTGATGTGCCATCACACATGATCGTACAACCAGCAACATGCTGCGTGGTCCTACGGCGGACAGCATGTTGCATTGCACGGCCCCCAGACATAATGAGCTGACCCTTAGCCAGCCTCTGCACCGCACTTTCACATGCCTGATGTGATCTGTCAACCTTACTCGTTCACCCGGTGATGCTCGCCAGCCCAGCCGGTGTTATCTGTCAAACGCCCTTCATCTCAATCTCACCTCCACCACCCATCTCCTCGTCCCGTGCGGCCTCCCTCCCTCCCTCCCCGCCTCCCACTCCCTCCCCGGGCAGGTGTTCTCCCTGCCAGTAGCAGCGGGGGACGCGGTGGTTTTGGGAACAGACGGCCTGTTCGACAATGTCTTTGACAGCGAGCTCGCCTCCACCGTCATGCACTCGCTCACTCGCTGCTCTCACCCACCCCCCCTGTCCTCCCCCTCCCAGGTCTTCTCCCTCCCGGTGGCAGCGGGCGATGTAGTCGTGCTGGGCACGGACGGTCTGTTTGACAATGTCTTCGACTCAGAGCTCGCCTCCACCGTCATGCACTCTCTGCTGGCGGGCCGCGAGCCACAGCACACGGCGGAGCACATTGCGACGCTGGCGCGCACGCGCGCGCAGGACCGCATCCGCATCTCGCCCTTTGCACGTGCAGCGCAGGAGGCGGGGTACCGGTACTACGGGGGCAAGCTGGATGACATCACTGTCGTCGTGGCTTATGTGGCCGGGCCTAATTTCGGACCGGGGTGGTGGCGCAACTGCCGGTGATGGGGAGGAGGGAGTCGCGGGGAGGAGTGGGGAGGGGTGGGGAGATGAAGCGGCATGGAGGGATTGGGATGTGACCGACAGATGCGGATGAGGACAAAAGCTGAGGCGGATGGAGAGAAGGAGTGGGGTATATGAGAGAGACGCAGAGGCATATGAAGTTAGTCAGGAGCGCACACATGCAGCAGTGTACGCGGTGCCGGCCGGGGGCCGAAGCAACTCTGGGATGGTTGGCATGACCATCACGCACCCTCATGGCCACCACACGCACTTGCTAATTCGCCGACATCACACGGGGCATGGGGCACATGTTACCACATGTCACCACCACTGGAACACGCTCGCGCAACACGGACATCAGTACCCTCCACACAGTTGTGTGTTGATACACTCTCGTCATGGCAGCACAGCACAGCCCGCGTGCGTGGGTCCCCACCCCAAGACATGTTCCAATGGGCCCATGCGAGCATGGTTGTTGCTGTGAGTCCGCTGTCTGTCCACCTCATGTCCACTGTCCAGCTCATGTCTTCACCGCTCCTCGTGCCACCCAGCAGCATCAAACGTTGACATGATTCTCATGTTTCGCTGCCTCCATTGGCAAGTGGGCATCTGTGCTTTTTGCCTGTGTGTGGGGCAGTTGGTTTTGGGGCACACTAAGGGTTTTCTCTTTCTGTAGTCAGATATGATAATGTGGGATCTATAAGTGTTGACACATTACCCCCTATATTACTGTAGTATTAAACGGTAGCAGCTTTACAGTATGCTACATGGAATGGTAGTGTCGGTATTCATATTACAAGACAGCATAAGCAGTGCCAACAGTCCCTAACCACCTCTCCACGCATACCCAGGTGTGCAGGTGGGGGCCAAACTAGAAGCCCTGGTAGAGCAGGTCGTAGTGGGGGATTCGGTCTCTGGGCAGCGGGCATGTGACTATGAGCTTGCCCCTCATCGCACCCCTGAATATGGTCTGCACCCCGGGGGTGAGAAAGGAGGGATGGGGAGTGGGGGATGGGGAGAGAGGTAGGGATGTGGAGGAAAGCGGGAACATGGGACGTGTGTCGGTGGGCAACGAGTGTGCTGGAATGCGCAGCATGCACAAGGCAGCACGCCAAGAGCAGTGCTTCCCTCTGGGACAGCAAGGAACAAGCCCTGCCCATCACAACAATCACCACTACCCCCTGCCGCCCTGCTCCTTCGCCCTATCCGTATCAGCCCCCCCCAAATCCTTCATCCAGTTCCCTTCCGCGCCTTCCTCCCCCACCCACCTCTTACCCTAACCCAGTTTACCTCCTCACAACCACCCTCCCCTCCCCCTTTCCTTCCCTCCCCTTTTATCCTTCCCTCCTCTCCCTGTCCCACCTTCTCCCCCTCCCCCCCCTCCCCCCCCGTCCCCCCGTCCCCCCCTCCCCCCTGTCCCCCCCTCCCCCGTCTTCCCTCCCCCCTCACCTCAATGACATCAATGTAGTCCTGCTTGCACGTGAACGGCCCCACCCACTTGCCGTGGTCGGGCGTGCTGCAGCGTACGCGTGAAGGGGGCGGAGGTGGTGGAGGGGGGGCAGGACGAGGACGGAGAGGGGGCAGCAGGGGAGGGGAGTGGGAGAGGGAAGCAGGGGGGGGAGGCAGTGGCAGGGAAGTGAGGGAGGTGAGATGAGTGTTAGAAGATTTTTGAGGTGCCTCGAAAAGTGATGAGACAGTTGGGCGAATGGTGATGACATGCCCAAAATGAATGGTGATGTCATGGGGTGAGTGAGGGGGAGGGAGGGGAGGAGGGGGACTCACGCAACCGCTACCGGCATCCAACTTGACTGGCGTGAGTCCCCCTCCTCCCCTCCTCCCCTCCTCCCCTCCTCCCCTCCTCCCCTCCTCACCCCACATCCCTGTTCAACACCCTTCCTCCCTCCCGCCCTCCTGTCAACGCCCGCCACACCCCCAACTTAGTCCCCACGTGCCCCGCGCCCACCCCTCGCGCACGCGGCGTCCATCTTGACGTGAGTCGCGTTGAAGAACACATCCCATCCCCTTCCTCCACCTGCCCCCCTCTCCCTCTCGGCCCCCACCCCCCTCGCAACCACCCCTCACCCCCCGCGCACCTGGAGTCCATTTTGACGTGAGCGGCGTTGAAGAAGACGCAACGTCTGCTCACGCTCACCCATCCTCTTCCTCCAACACCCCCCGCTCTCCGTTCCGGCCCCCCCCCACCCCCCTCGCAACTTCCCCTCACCCCTCGCCCTCACCCGGCGTCCATCTTGATGTGAGTGGCGTTGAAGAAGTACACACAAGCAGGCAGCACCTGCACCCCCTGTCCCACCCCTCCCTCATCCCCCACCTCTCTTCCCCCCCATGCTACTCCTTCCCCCCTCCCCACCCTGCTTATATTCCCCCTTGCTCACCCGGAGTCCATCTTGATATGCGTGGCGTTAAAGAAGAATACACAGGCCGGCACCACCTGCACGTCCAGGCACGCCACGTACGCCGCCACGCCCGCCGCCCGCACGTCCACCAGCGCCGCCCGCGCGAACCCGCTCACGTCCGCCGCCGCCCGCGCCAGCTGGCGAGCCGTTATTGGCGGCGGGAAACGCGGGCGTGGAGCAGAGGGAGGGGAGGGAGATATGGGGAGGAAGGGGAGGACGTGGAAGGAAGGATGGGGGAAGAAGCGGGACCGTGAATGAGGTCAGGTAGCGACGCATCGCGTGGAGCCCTGCCATGCGACACTGTCGCACAGCATCGCCAGCATTCATGCTCTGTGAATCACTGACGGTGGTGGGAGCATCGGTACCATCAAAACCACCACCACGCCCCGTCTCCCCCCTCCTGCTCGCACCTCAACGGAAGCCCGGCCCGACGTCGTCCAATCGCGGCTCACCACGTCATCGAGCTGCATGCAGGCGGGGTCGTCGGCGAGGCCGAAGCGCAGCACGAGCACGGCGTCGACGGTGTTCCACAGGAACGCGTCGATCTGCTCCTTGCGCGTCAGCACCGGCAGCTCGGCCGCCATTCCGTTCGCGAAAAAAAATGTATTTGCGAAAACGGGGATGCGAAAGCGCCAGTGATGTCACAAATTTCGCGTTCGTCATGTTCACGACGCAGAATTCGGCCTCTCGGCCGTATCGGAAGCCATGCAACACCTGCCGCTGGCGAGGCGTCGCCTCGCGCTTAGAAGTTGGCGAGGTGGTGGCTCGCGAACCGAGTGCGACCCACGAATGTCCGCGCGGCGGAGAGACCAAGAGGCGGAAGGTGAGAGCGCGAAGGGTTGGGTGGGGCGGGGGTAGACAAGTGAGGAGCTCGAGGGTCGAGAGTTGAGAGCTGAGGAGTGCGTGAAAGGAGCATTGCTGGTGGCAAATACGGCTAGGATTGCACAACAGAACAAAACTGCTGGGGAGATGAAGGCACCCCTACTGTACGCGTAACTATAATTTCGTTATTGTACCGAGAGGGGTGATATTCTACCTAACGACTTTTAGCTTCCGTATCTCGAAGCCTGGGGTGTTACGGATTCGTGGGAGTGACGCCATGTTTTGTGCTGTCCTTTTGAACTTCCCGCCAAAATATCTCCTCAAATCACCAATCACGCACGACTCGACTCGATCAATCCCTGTGCGGCAATCTTAGTAAACCACCCGCACACACCGATCAAGGTGCTCCCTTTCTCATCAATCACACAAGCAGGAACATCTCACTGCTTGCAAAACCTGATGAAGGCATGCCAGTCAACTGACTTGCTCAAAATATCACCTCCCCGCACCACAGCTTACTGACCAACACAACGACGCTCCGCATTCAACGTTCGTCAGCAGCAGTACCACTCAACGCGAACCCCTCCTCTTTCCAACAATGCCGCCAGCCATGGCGGCGGCAGTAGCGCCGACAGCCGTGCTTTTGCGGTCGTGCGGCACGGACGGCGTGTGCATGCAATGCAACACGCTGCCGCCCGACGACCGCGTGCTCGTGTGCGACGCGTGCCGCGGCGAGTGGCACATGCCGTGCCTCGTTCCGCCCCTTACCGCCGCGCCCGCCGGAACATGGCACTGCCCCGACTGCCACGAGGTCGAGGCAGCGATGAACCGCGCGCCCGGCGGCGACGGCGGCGGAGACGGCCGTGCCGCGTCTGATACGGCGGCCGGCGGGGCAGAAGCGCTGAGAGAGGCAGATGCCGCGGCGGCAACTGCGGGAAGCGGCGGCGAGGGCGAGCTGCGCGCGAGAATCCGTGCGATCCAGAGCGACGCGTCGCTGAGCGACGCGGAGAAGGCGAGGCAGCGGCAGGCGCTGGTGAGCCGCCAGGCGACGACGACCGCGAGCGAGAGCGGCGGCGGGACGCGCGCGGACGGGGCGGGTGCGACGGCGAGGGGCGCAAACGCGGCAGAGGCGGCGGAGGCGGCGGCTGCGTGTTTCAGCGAGGCGATGAAGTGCCCCATCTGCCACGACCTCGTCGACCGCCCCGTCACCGTGCGATTCTCTCCATTCCCCTCCCATCACCGTGCGATTCTCTACACTCCCCTCCCGTCACCGTGGGATCTCCCTTCTTGTCCTCCAGTGCTTCCAAAACTGCGCTCTTCACCCCCTTCCCCCCCGTTCCTTTCAACGCGCCCCTTATCCCCGTTCGCCCACTCTCTCCTCATGCCTCTTAACTCCCCCTCCCCCCATCCCTCCCCTCCCCATGCCTGCCAGACCCCCTGCGGTCACAACTTCTGCCTCGTGTGTTTCCGCAAGTGGCTGGCGCAGGGTAAGCGCAGCTGCGCCAAGTGCCGCCGCGCGGTGCCGCCCGACATGATGAAGCAGCCGCGCATCAACCCCGTCATCGTCGCCGCCATCCGCCACGCCAAGGCCGCCGCCGCCCGCGCGGCCGCCGGCGGGCTGTCCACGTCAGCAACACCGGCGAAGCAGTTTGAGCCAATCTGCAACGAGAAGCGGCCCGACCAGGCGTTCACCACGGATCGCGCCGTGCGCAAGGGGCTCTCTAACGCGGCCTCGGGCCGCATATTCGTGACTATAGCGGGGGACTTTTTCGGGCCAATCACGGCGGAGTACGATCCAGAGAGGGGGACGGGCGTGGAGGTGGGCGAGACGTGGGCGAGCCGGCTGGAGTGCCGGCAGTGGGGCGCGCACCTGCCGCACGTGGCGGGCATCGCGGGGCAGTCCCACCATGGCGCGCAGTCAGTGGCGCTGTCGGGGGGGTATGAGGACGACGAGGACAACGGCGAGTGGTTCCTCTACACTGGCAGGTGGGTAGTCGTTAGCAGGGTTGAGAGGAAGGGAGAGGAGAGGAGAGAGGAGAGGTGGGGGGGGAAATGAGAGGAGAGGAGAGAGGAGAGGAGAGGGGGGAGGCAACACACGGCGCAGATGGGATTAGGCATGCGTTCCAGTTCCATGCATGTTCCCCGCCACTTTCCCTTCTCCATTGCTGCCCCGTCTCTCCATTCACTTCCCCTGACCCTCCTATCCCCCAACGATCCCCCTTCCTTTCCATCATGTGGCGCAGTGGGGGCCGGGATCTGAGTGGCAACAAGCGCACCAACAAGGTGCATGCGTTCGACCAGCGCTTTGAGAAGAGCAACCAGGCGCTCCAGCTCAGCTGCCTCAAGGGCTACCCCGTGCGCGTCGTCAGGTGCGCCGCTCTGCTTGCGCGTGTCGTCCCTCTTGCATGCATGGCTGCGCCTGGGGTGCGGTCATGCTCGAATGTGTGCGTGTGTGCTTGTATTTGTGTGCTAGTATTTGTGTGCTAGTATTTGTGTGCTAGTATTTGTGTGCTAGTATTTGTGTGCTAGTATTTGTGTGCTAGTATTTGTGTGCTAGTATTTGTGTGCTAGTATTTGTGTGCTTGTATTTGTGTGCTTGTATTTGTGTGCTAGTATTTGTGTGCTAGTATTTGTGTGCTAGTATTTGTGTGCTAGTATTTGTGTGCTAGTATTTGTGTGCTAGTATTTGTGTGCTTGTATTTGTGTGCTTGTATTTGTGTGCTTGTATTTGTGTGCTTGTATTTGTGTGTGCGCGCGTGCATGCATTTGTGCGGTATGATGCATGCAACCACCTGTGCATCCCGTCTTGACGCCCTTCCCCTCCCACTGCATTTCCATCTTCTCTCCTCCCACACAAGTGCTTTCCCCTGTGACTGTCGTCTGACCCTCTCCCACTCACACACCTCTCCGCCAACCACATCTCACGACGTCCCGTCGCATCCCGCACGCATGCCTCACTGCACCCTCACTGCAGGTCGGAGAAGGAGCGGCGGTCCAGCTATGCGCCACAGGCGGGTGTGCGGTACGACGGCGTCTACCGCATCGAGCGCTGCTGGCGCAAGAAGAGTGCCGTGGTGCGTTGGTGGGGGGGAGGGAGGCGGGTCGTGGTGAGGAAAGGGGGAAGTAAGGGGAGGAAGAGCGGGGACTGTGGGGACATGGTGAGTGGGAGAGGAAACGCCTGGTCTCGTGGGTGTTACTGCAAACGCACAAGTGCCAGCGGAATGAGTAACTCTTCTGTCCTCCCCTGCTGCTGCACGCCCCTCCCACCACAGGGCTTCCTCGTGTGTCGCTACCTCTTCGTGCGCTGTGACAACTCGCCTGCCCCCTGGACCAGGTAGGTGCCCCCCGGACCAGGTAGGTGCCCCCTGGACCAGGTAGGTATCCCTTCCCTGCCGCCCACACCAGGCACTGCCCCCTGCACCAGGCACTGTCAGGGGCAGCACTCTCAGTGCCTGCAAGCGGCTTTGTCCATCCAGTTTCCCGTTAAGCCCTCCTGGCTTCACACAGCTCTCTCCTGTGCAGTGCCAACTCACCTCTGTAAACCCTGCCTACCTCCTCTTCTTACTCCCTTCCAATTCCAACCCACATCTGCCCTTAGCCTCTCCCCTCCCTTGCCCTCAGTTCACCCCCTCTTCCCTTTTTCTTCACTCTCCCTCCTCTTCCTCCCCTTCTTCCCCCTCGTCGTAACCCTCTCCGTCCTCCCCATCTTGTCTCCCCCATGCTCTCCCCGCAGTGACGACGTGGGCGACAGCCCGGGGCGGCAGCTGCCGAAGGTGGCGGAGTTAAAGCACGCGGTGGACGTCACCGAGCGCACCGGCCCGCCCGCCTGGGACTGGATTGTGAGTGCGCTGATGAGGGGGTGCGTGTGGGTGAGCGGGTGTGGCACGTGCGGGTGGCACGACGTGGCACGGTGTGCAGTCAAGGCCTTCCTTTCTGTGCTATGTCTTCCCGTCCATAGGAGGAGAAGCGGCAGTGGGGGTGGGTGCGCGCGCCCCCAGCATGCACCAAGCCCATCGGTGGCACCAGCACGGCGTGGCGTTCTGCCAAGAGGCTGGCAGTGGGCAGCACGGGCGAGGCCGTGAAGAAGCGACGGGCGCTGGCACAGAAGAGACTCGCTAAAGGTGAGCGGGGTGGGGGATGAGAGCGGGATGGGGTATGAGAGCGGGGTGGCGTATGGTCATGACGGTGGGGCATGACTGATACGGTGGCAAGGCAAACAGGGGTTGGTAAGGCCGAGAGCATGAGAAGGAGAGTGCATGAAGTCGAGGCGATATGGAAATGGTTTGTCTCTTCACTTCCACGCCTCCTCTCCATCTCTTGCCTCCATCTCTCGCCTGCACTACCTAGTCGCACCCAAACCCCCTCCACACCCCCCTTCCCCCTCACCCCTCAGACTTCGCGTGTCTGCTGTGTGGGGGAGTGCTGTGCGACCCGGTGTCCACGCCCTGCCAGCACAGCTTCTGCCTCGCGTGCCTGCAGCAGCGCTTCCACGGGCAGGCCGACACGCGCGACCGCTCCAAGACCGCGGGGCGGTCGCTGCGAGCGCAGAAGATCGTCAAGCAGTGCCCCGCCGCACGCTGCACTGCTGACATCGCAGACGTGCTGTCCCGGCTGCAGGTGAGGGGGTGGGTGTGAGGGGCCCGCGAGATGGCTATTAGGGTGACTCAAGGTGGTCGGCTGCGAGCACAGAAGACCGTGAAGCAGTGCCCCGCCGCGCGCTGCACCGCTGACATTGCGGATGTGCTCAGCCGCTTGCAGGTGAGGGAAGGGGGTGGGGGGCAGATGCAGGTGAGGGAAGGGGGTGGGGGGCAGATGCAGGTGAGGGAAGGGGGTGGGGGGCAGATGCAGGTGAGGGAAGGGGGTGGGGGGCAGATGCAGGTGAGGGAAGGGGTGTGAGAACTTAGGCTTAGAAGCGATACATTAGTAATGAGCTTGAAGCTCTTTAAGTACATCCAAGAAGGGTAAGGAATAGTTGGGGAAGGGAATCAGAGGCAATCCCTGGGGATTGGGGGTAATCCAAAGGCAATCTCCAATTGGTGGGTTGGAGATTGCTTGGAGATTACATTTGGGTTTGGTTGGGATGTAGGTGTACACCCAACCAAACACAATGTGCAAACTACACTACTCTAGGATATAGAAAATACAAAGTACAAAGTGTGAGATTGAAGGCTAACACGAACACCCCCCCATAGGCGTCAATCGAACTCATGGCAGAGAGGGTGGAGCACAGAGCCCCATGGCGCCAAGGAGACGGTGGTGGGGAACTTTCCCAAGGGGCTTGGTGAACAGATCAGCCAGGTTGCAGTCAGATGCTACGTACTCCACTGTCAACTGCTCCTGCTGGACAAGGTCACGGATGAAGAAGTGCCGGAGTTCAATATGCTTGGTGCGGGTGTGATACACAGGGTCTTGAGAGATGTGGATGGTACTCTGGTTGTCACACCAAAGGGTGGGGGCGGACTGTGGGAAACCAAGCTCCTGGAGTAGGAAGGTGAGCCAACGGGCCTCCTGAGCAGCCATGGTGCCTGCGTAGAGCTCTGCCTCACATGAGGAGAGGGAGACTGCAGACGACCTGGTGGAGTGCCAACTGACAATTCCGCTCCCAAGGGTGAAGCAGTACCCCTGAGAGGAGCGTCGGTCGGTCTGGTCATCAGCCCAGGAGGAGTCGGTGTAACCTTCCAGGCGAGGAGGGGAGAGCCCACCGAGTGTAAGAACGTGAGACTTGGTGCCCTGAAGATAGCGCAGCACCCGCTTCGCCGCCTTCCAGTGAAGATCAGTGAAGCGTCCAGGGGCCACGTAGCGAGAGAGGACACTGACAGGATAGGCCAGGTCCGGCCGGGTGCACATCATGGCGTACATGAGGGACCCAACAAGCTCCGGGTATGGCTCAGAGCAGGCCTCTGGTGTGGGTACAGCTGGAGCTGTGAGGAGGTGTTGCAGCGGCAGCGGGGTGGCAACAGGTGTGCACAGCTCCATCTCAAACCGCTTGAGCACATTGTCGATGTTGAACTCCTGGGAGAGTGAAATGGTGCGAGCCTGGCGATCACGAGTGATCTCCATCCCCAGGTAGTGCTTGAGGCCACCGAGGTCTTTCATCTGGAGGGCCTTGCTCAGAGCTGCCTGGACAGAGGTCATCTGGGCCGAGTCCTTGGCAACGAGGATGAAGTCATCCACGTAGACCAGGATGTAGAATGGCTCAGAATGACGGCGGATGAAGAGAGTCGGGTCAGCAGATGAAGGGTGGAAGTCCAGGGAGAGGAGGACTTCTTTCACCTTGTTGTGCCATTCGCGAGGGGTTTGCTTAAGGCCGTAGACGGGGCGATTCAGCTTCCAGACAGTGTTGGGAGGGAATTCTCCTGGGAAGCCTTCAGGTCTGTCCATGAACACTGTCTCCTTGAGACGTCCTTGTAGGAAGGCGGATGAGGCATCCATGGATTTGATCTCAAAGTCTTCTCGAGCTGCGACATCCATGAGCGTACGAATGGTGGGAGGTTTGGATGTGGGGGAGAAGGCTAGGAAGAAGTCGCGGTACTGCTGCTGGGTGAAGCCCTTGGCTACGTAACGCGCTTTGAACACCGGGGCCTCGTCTGGGAGCTGTTTTACAAGGAACAACCACTTGCCCCCGACGATGTTGACTCCTGGAGGTGGAGTCTCGTCGTCGAAGGAGTGGTTGCGGGTGAATGCTTCAATCTCCGCTTCCATGGCAGCACGCCATTCGGCAGCATGAGGGCCTGAGAGAGCCTCTTGGACGGTGAGAGGGATAGGGATGGTTGGGTTTTCCGTGAAGTTGAGTGAGGGTGATTCAGTGATGTCAGGGAAGATGTGCGAGAGCTGGGGAATGACTGCGTGAAGATCATAAAGCTCCTCATGCCTATCTTCCAGAAGGGTAGAGGGCACATCCCCCCCGGCAGGAGGAGTCGAAGTGATCGTGGAGCAACGAATAGCCAGGGCCAGAGGAGGAGCAGGGCCAGGCGAGCGAGTGCCATGGGCTACCGGAGAGGAGGGCGGAGCAGGCGGTGGCTGAGGGATTGACTTAGGAGGCTTGGGCGGGGGAATTGGCCGCCGCTTGTACGTGATCAGTTCGGGCGGCTGTGGAGGAGCGGGTGCCTGGGAGGAAGGGGGGGCTGGGGGAGGAGGTGGGGCCGGAGGATGCGACCGCCGATGGTATGTGATTGGTGCGCTCGGAGGTGGCGGCGCAGATGGCAGGGCGGCAGGTGAGGGGGAGGGAGGAGCAGCTGCCGAAGACACCGGTGAGGGCGGGTCAGAGACCTCAGAGGGGGACGGTGCGGTGGCAAGAGGGGTAGGAGGTGAAGGGGCCGGAGCAGGCGGGAGGTCAGGAGGCGCATCAAAGTCTGCCCACACGAGGGAGGGTGGATCAGAGAGAGAGACCCGTTCCGAGGTAGAGTAGAATGGACGGGTCTCATCAAAGACAACGTCGCGGCTCCGGACCAACTGTTGAGTGGAGGGGTTGAGGAAGAGGTAGTCAGGCGAGTCGGCGTTGTGCCCGAGGTAGATGCACGTCTGGGTCTTGGGACCGAGCTTGCCGCCGTGCTGCCGTCGAGCCTGAGGGTTGAGGAGGACATAGGCGGTGCACCCCCAAACGCGAAGAGAGCGAGCAGTGGGCGTTTTCCCGAGCCAGAGTGTGGTTGGAGTGGTGTCAGGAAGATGCGGGTGGGGGTAAAGGTTGTAGAGGAGGGCGGCGTGGTAGAGAGCGTACCCCCAGAGAGAGTGCGGAGCGTTGGAGTGGCCGAGGAGGCACCGAGTGATCTGCACCAGGGTGTGGTTGCGGCTCTCAGCTATGCCGTTCTGCTGCGGGCTGTCAGGGAGGGTGAAGTTTTGCTGGATGCCTTCTGAGGAGCAGAAGGCTTTGAGCTTGTCGTTGCAAAACTCACCACCACCATCCGAGTGAAGGCGCTTGACTTTGCGGTCAAAGGTGGTCTGTGCCTGTTTAACCCACGCCATGAGGACCTCTGGAACCGCAACCTTAGTCTGGAGGAGGTGAACAGAGACGTAGCGAGAGTGGTCATCGACGATAACAAGGAAGTAGCGATAACCACCTCGTGCGGGAACAAGGGCAGGGCCCCAGACGTCCAGGTGTACCAAGTCCAGTGGTGCTGCTGCGACAGAGGGTGAGGCCGGGTGGGGCTGTTGACGCAGTTTGCTCTTGGTGCAGTCAAGGCACGTGGGAGCGGGGGAATCTGGTGGTGGAGGAAGTGAGGCTGGCAGGCCGAGTAGAAGTTTCTTGGAGGCCATGTCAGCAAGTGTGCGGAAGTTTGGGTGCCCGAGCCGATGGTGGTAGAGTATGGTCGGGTTGGAGAAACTGCGGCACGAGCATGGTGGGGTAGTTGCCTCTGCTTGGGTGGTTGACACATGTGGGATGGGTACTTGCAGTGTGTAAAGGCCGCTGCTGTTGAGGGTGAAACGAGTCAAGACCTTGTTGGTGAGTGGGTCGAGGATATCACCATAGTTCTCGTTCTCCCAGAAAATGGTGCGTAGCCCAGCTTCCTGAATTTCCGTTTGGGCCACGAGATTGTGGCGGAGTGAAGGCACGCACATTCCAGTGACAGTGCCGGAAGGGAAGGCGGGGCACGGGACTGTGGATGAACCCTTGGCAAGAGTGGTGAAGCTTGAGTCAGCTCCTAGGAGGGGGATGGGTGTTGCGTAGGGTTTGAAGGAGAGTGTCTCCTTGAGCACAGTGTGAGTGGCGTCGCTGTCGAGTGTGAACTCTATGTATTGTGGTGCTTGTGATGAGCCGAGGTACTGGGAGGAAGCTTCATTAATCATGGCAGTGCCAGGGAACAACAGGTTGATACGCACATCAGCAGGAGCAATATCATTGGCACTAGCCGAAGCGGGGTCCTGGACCTCAACCAGGTTGGCCTTACGCGCACGCATCCAGTTCGGTGGCCTCTTGTCTATGCCGTGGACGGCGTACCATTCGTCGTCCTTCTTCTTGAAGCACGTAGCAAGGGGGTGGTTAGTGCCACCACACACTTGTCCCTTGCGGTTGCCATACTTGACGACGTAGGTGCACGGTGGGAAGCGGTTGCGCTGGAGGGGCGCCGAGGCAAGGGCCGCTGCGACACTTGCTTGAGGCATGAGAGCACGGATGGCATAGGCCTTGGCTTGAGCCGTGGAGTCTTTCTCGGCAGAGAGGAGTGCGGTGGAGACCTTGGCAAAAGTGAGGTCTTCCGCAGTCAGCGTGAGGAGCATCTTCCTTGTGATTTTGTAGGCTGTGGTGAGGCCAACAAGAAGAGCTGCTGCAGGGGCCTGTTCGGGGAAGACTATACCCAGCTCCTTGAGTTCGCCATGAATGGTCTGAACCTTGGCAATGTAGTCGGCCATTCCCGAGCAATCCTCAAGGCGGACCTGGAACATGCTGGGGATGAGGATGGCAACTCCGACCGCAGTCTTGTTCATGAATCGATCCTGGAGATGCTTCCAGATGACGTTGGAGGTAGGGTAGTTATGGAACGTGTTGACAAGTTCTGGAGGGGTGGAGGCGATGAAGACGCTGATAATAGCAGCATCGGCCTTCTCCCACTTCCGGTACTTCTCAACGGCTTCCTCATATGCCCTTGTGTCAGCCTCACTAGCGGATTCGGTCTTCTCACGAGGGAGAAGGGGCTGTTTTCCCTTGCCATGGTTGAGGAGGACATCCTTGAGGTCCAATCCTTGCACGTCACGGCTCAGCAGGTGCTTGTCAACCCCATAGCTCCATGCCTTGAAGTTGGGGCTAGAGCCATCGGCTTCAAGACGGAGTGGGGTGATGGGGTTGGCCATGGTGGACGCGGTGAAGGCCATGCTGGAGATCTCTTGGTGTCTCGCGCGAAGCGCTGCTCTTAAGTCACCGATAGGAACTTCGAAATCCGACGGACCCCAAATAGCGAAAATCGTCAATGTCGACCGCGTCGGGATGCCTTGTAGAAGGATTTTCTAGGCCGCCAAAACTAGGTAAAATCGGCCGACTTCCGTAGATCTAACCCTAATCCCACACACCCCCCCCACACACCACCCTCAGCTTCGCGGCTACACTGCTGCACGACTTCGCGGCTACTCTGCTGCTCGGTTGCGCGGCTACACTGCTGCTCGGCTGCGCTGCTGCACCTGTTCAGCTGCGGGAAAAGGGGAATGGGGTTAGAAGTGCAGATGCGGGGCGACGGGCGGCGGCCCGACGTGAAGTTGCGGGGCGACGGGCGGCGGCCCGACGAGAAGCTGCGGGGCGACGGGCGGCGGCCCGACGGGAAGCTGCGGGGCGACGGGCGGCGGCCCGATGAGAAGAGGTGACGCGGTGACGAAATTGAGAGATGACGAAAAAGGAACTATAAGTTAGAGCGACGTCGATGAGCGTACCATAGAAATTGAAGACGTCGTCGAAGTTGACGGGAAAGTGGTGCGGGGGAATTTCCGCCCACGAATGTCGCGAATCGACGGTAATGAGATTGAAGGAGGCTATGCAGAGGTTTGCGGGAAGAACATCCGCATGGATAGGAGGATCACGATTCCGCATGTGCGGATGTAGGGCTCTGATACCATGTGAGAACTTAGGCTTAGAAGCGATACATTAGTAATGAGCTTGAAGCTCTTTAAGTACATCCAAGAAGGGTAAGGAATAGTTGGGGAAGGGAATCAGAGGCAATCCCTGGGGATTGGGGGTAATCCCAAGGCCATCTCCAATTGGTGGGTTGGAGATTGCTTGGAGATTACATTTGGGTTTGGTTGGGATGTAGGTGTACACCCAACCAAACACAATGTGCAAACTACACTACTCTAGGATATAGAAAATACAAAGTACAAAGTGTGAGATTGAAGGCTAACACGAACAAGGGGGTGGGGGGCAGATGCAGGTGAGGGAAGGGGGTGGGGGGACAGATGCAGGTGAGGGAAGGGGGTGGGGGGCAGATGCAGGTGAGAGAAGGGGGTGGGGGGGCAGATGCAGGTGAGGGGATGATGGGTTCAGGTGAGGTTGTGCTTTGCGAGACAGGCAGGCACGAGGAACGGTGTTTGAGCAATTCCCATTCTCCCTCATGTCCCACCGCTTTTGCAGCATGGCTCCTCTGCTCAAACAACCCAGCTCTGTCCTCTGCTCAAACAACCCAGCTCTGTCCTCTGCTCAAACAACCCAGCTCTGTCCTCTGCATGAATTCTCTCTCTGCTGCACTGTCGCATTCTCATGCCCTCTCCCACACGCCCCCTCCTCTTGCAATCGCCGCATTCTTCTCACATTCCCCCCTTGGGCCCCTCACCGGCGGCAGATGAATCAAGACATGGCAGATCTAATTGCCATGCTGCTCGCAGAGACACACGCTCCCAAACGCTCCCACACGCTCTCTCTTGCCCCTTGCCCCTTGCACCCTCACCTCACCCCGTCCTTCCATGGTGGCAGGTGAATCATGACATGGCAGATTTGATTGCCATGCTGCTCGCTGAGACACATGCACCAGATGCAGAGGAGGGGGACGCGGGGGAGGGTGGGGAGGGCGGGGATGCAGGCCAGGGCGGTGAGGAGGATGGGGAGGAGGGCGCAGATGGGGAGGAGGATGAAGCGGACGAGGAAAAAGAGGAGGAGGAGGGGAAGGACAGGAAAGGGCAGGCCGAAGGGAAGGAGCGTGAAGGAAGCATGGAAGGTGCAGGAGAGGAGGGGCAGAAGGAAGAGGGGTGGAGCAACGGGCTGCAAGCGCTGGATGCGATTGGTGCTGCGGGGAGCAGAGGAGGAGCGGGTGAGGGGGAGGGCAAGGGCGCGCAGGGAGAGGTGGAGGAGGCGAGGGAAGGCGGAGTGGATGGCGGGAAGGCTGGGGGAGTAGTAGGTGCGTTGAGTCCCACTTCAGGTGGCGTTGCTGGTGTGACGACAGCGTCGGCACCGGCGGATGCAGCAACACAGGGCGCAGCAGCAAAGGGGATGGCAGCAGTGGGCACGGCAGTGGAAAGGGCAGAAACAGAGGGGGCGGCAGCAGGAAAGGAGTCAGCAGCAACGGCACTGGTGGCGTGCAGCTCGCTGGCAGGCGTCCCAGAGGACTTGCGGGAAGTGATGAGGGAATACCCCGAATTCGACCAGGCAACGCTGCGAGACATGCTGGTGCGAAGGGGCGGGGGGGGTGGGGGGGAGGGGGGAGGGTAGGGGGGGTGGGTGGAAGGAGGGCACAGGATGGAGGGAGGACATGTGGTTTTGTGGTGTGGCGGATGGGGTTGCTGGTGTAAACCCTAGAGAGTGAAGTGAGTTGAGAAGAATGCAGGAACCTCTGTGCCCCTGATCCCCCCGACTGCTGTCATCCCATCATCCCATCTTCCCCACGCTTGTCTTGCCGCTGCCTGTCTCGCTGTGTTCCCTGCGCTACACACATCGCCCTCACCCTTTCTTGATCCTCACCCCTTTCTTGGCCCCCGCCCTCCTCCTCACCCCCCTCCCACCCCTCATCCCCCTCCTGCCCGACACCCTCCTCCCGACCCCACCCCTCTTCTCTGCACTTGTCTTGCCGTTCCCTGTGCACTTCACACAGCCCCTCCCAGATCACCTCCACCCTCTCTTGATCCTCACCTCCCCGTTGCCCCTCACCCGCCCCCCCCCCTCCCACCCCTGACCCCCGTGTGCTCCACTAGGTGGGAGAGGCAGGCGACGATGTGGAGGAGCTGAGGGGCATGCTGAAGCACATGCACTGCCACCAGCAGCAGGGGGGCGGTGCAAGTGGTGGAAGGGGGCGCGGGCGAGGGCAGGGGAGAGGGAGAGGGGCGGGGAGGGGGAGGGGGAGGGGGAGAGGGAGGAGAGGAGTGGAAGAGGAGAGTGCAGGGGCAGATGAGAAGGCAGGGGCAAGGAAGCGGCAGAGGGAGGATGTGGTGGAGGTGGATGGGGGCAGCTCTGATGATGATGTGGTGGAGTGTTAGGAGCATCAGTAGGCTGCCCTCATACACTCATCATAGCGCTACACATGTCTGATCTGATATTTTTCACCCCAATCTTTTCCACATGTTAACACGCCCAACACTGCAAAAGTCCTGTTCATTATCTGGATTCTTGTTGTTTGGATATCCTAGTACTATTACCGTACCATCAAGGTCACATTTTCTCAGTGGCGAAGCGAGTCAGCTCTAGAATGGTCTGCGGTCTCATCTCGCGTTGACTACACCCTCACCTTGAACTCGCCTCCCTCATCAATGGATAACCTCATGGAGTTTGACGCCCTCTCCCTGATTCTCGGCAGCATCGGCCTCTTAGGAGGGTTGTGGTTGGGTGCGGTGCGGTGTGAGGTACATGACTCTCCCTCACCGCATAGTTCCCTGCTCGTAGCGCTGCCACACTAGTCGCGCTGCCCTGCCCTGCCCGTCGCGCCGCCCTGCAGGCAGAGCGCTGCCTTGCCCTGCCCATCGCGCCGCCCTGCTGGTCACGCGCCGCCCTCCCCTGCCTGTCGCGTCGCCCTGCTGGCCGCCGCGTCGCCCTGCCCTGCCCGCGCGCCGCCCTGCTGGCCGCCGCCCTGCCCTGCCATTTGCGCTGCCCTGCTCGTGCGCCGCTCTTCCCTAGCAGTGCGCCGCCTCACCCTGCCCTGCGCGCTTCCCTAGTGCTCGCGCGCCGCCCCGCCTGCGTGCTGCCCTGCTGGTCGCGCGCCACCCTGCTCTGCCCGCTATGGCTTCTCTTAGTGTTCTCACCTTCGATCATGAGGGCCGTCCGATCCAGTTCGATACGTGGCTCGACGACTTACAGCTGTACCTACTGAGCGATTCTAGAGACAGCGTTTCGTTGTTTGACCACACGTCTGGAGCCTCTCTCGCCCCTCCCGCCATAGCTGACAGTGCGATTCACTCACAGTGGCTTACCCGTGACGCTGCTGCTCGCTTAGCCGTCCGCAACCACCTGCCGTTAGCCGAACGCGCTCACTTTGGCCAGCACAAGACTGCTAAAGCCCTGTACGACGCTGTAGTCGCTCGTTACTCTTCCCCTGCCACTGCTGCTCTCGGCCGCCTTATACTGCCCTACCATTTTCTTAATGTCCTCTTCTCTGATCTTGATCTGATTGAACCCCTGCCGTAGGTCTAACGTCGTGAAGAAGACCCCATCCGCCAACTTGTCAAAGATCTCCTCGGCCATCGGCATGGGGTACGTGTCCGCTACCGTGATCTTGTTGAGGGCCCGATAATCCCCACACATCCTCCTGCTCAGGACCTCCCCCGTTAGACCCTTCCTCGCAGCTACTATCATCGGCGTGGCGTACTCCGACTCGGACCGTCTGATCAGCCCAGCTTCCAGCAGCTCCTTGATTTTCACCTTGCAGATTTCCTCGTCCCCGTGTGGCATCTTCCTCCTCCGGTGGAACACGGGCTCCGCACTGCTCAGCTTCAACTCCATCTCCTTCACCTTGCACCTTCCCAACTCCTGCAGGTTAAAGGCGAAGCACTTTCTGTGTTTGGTCAACAGCCGTTGCATGGCCTCCTTCCCTTCCTCACTCATTGCCTTCCCTACCTTCCACGTCTCTCCCTCCTCCTCCTAGCATGTCCATGCTCCCTGAGGGCGCGGTTCCATGCCCCCCTTTTCTTCCTCTTGCCCCCAGCTCACCACCGTCTCTCTCCAAATCCGCTGAATCAGCCATCTCATCATGTTGCCGTCCATGGCGTTCCCTAGTGCCCTTCTCCTGTCGGCCTCGCTCACCCCGGGGGCTGCCGTCGCATTCTCCCCATACCCCATGGCCAGCTCCCATTCTAGAGCGGTTGGTTCCTCCCATCGCTGCTTCTTGTGATCGTATATCAGCCCTGGGCCCGGTTCCCCTGCTGCCCACGCGTACCCTGCTGCTCCTGCATAGGTGACCAGGGTGGGCAACGCCCGTCGGTCCTGCCCCACCTGATTGCAGGGGTAATGTCTGCTGTAGCCCTTTCGGCACATCGGCGCAGGGGTTCGTCCTGGCTCAAGGATGTCTTGCGCCTTCCTTCCTGGCGCTCTTATTACCCCGTTTATCTCCTCCTGCAGATTCGGTGCCGGGACGATGTTCTGCTAGTACATCCTCAATCGGTGTGCGAGTGACCCCATTCTGGCCGCATCACTGCTCACCCCTTCTCCGAACTGATTATTGATCCTTTCCTTCACTCGTATTGGCTCCCGGCTGTCCCCTTCCAGATCCAGTTTTTCCACCAGGTAGGCCACCCTGCCCTGCCTCTCTTGCAGCCACTCCATGATGCGGAACAGGTCCTCCAACAACTGCGTCCTCGGGTCCTCCCTTCCTCTTCCCTTACCAGCCCAAGACACCCCTTAGCACTCCCATCCTGCCACCAGCAGATCTACTTGCCCCCAGCTGGCCACCTCCGCCTCTGTTATCCGTGCCACATCATGGCTGCTTCCCCTCATGGCTTCACGGATCACCCCCGCACTCAGGAGCTCTGGGAATTCTGCTTGCAGCTTCCAGGCGTGGTGCTCAGCCATTTTTCTCACCACTGGCGCCTGTTCCACGTACACCCACTTCTGCACTGCAATCCCACTTCTTACCACCGCTGGTAATCCCGCCCCAATCTCCCCGAACAGTTCCACCAAGCGGATGGGCTGCTGCCAGTCACTTTGCTCCCTTGGCTCGTCCATCCTCCTCATCCTAGGCCCTTCCCATTGATTGTGTAGGTGGTTGTGGTATTTTTCTCTAGCTGGTTGTGGGCTAAGGGTTTGGGCAAAATATGATTGCTAGACTTGTTACAGGCTGGATTTGATCTCGCACCAAACAAGCACCAACAAATCTTTGCTACCCACTACAACATCTTTGGTGTTGTTAATTTGACATTTTGGGTTGTTGGGGATTGTTGTATGGCGAGGGTTGGGATGGTAGGGTTTGTCAAACTCGTCACTTTTCAGATCTGAACTCTAGCTTAAGCCATTCCTATATCTAATCCATGGCTGCCAAGTAATTCCGCCAGGACACCCCGTCGCACTTAAATCGCGATAGCGATCGGCCTAGATCTTGGTTGAAAGCGGGCATTACCATTCTGGAAAGTAGAGATTAAGAACCTTTCCAACGCGTACCTGCTCATAGTTTAAGGTTACGTGAGCTGCACGCAATGTTCCGTCAAAGTCGGCGGACTTAATCTCTTGTACGCTCTCCAAATTCGCGCGCTTTCCATCACTTCCTTGGTCCCAGTTGCTCCCCTCTGCTCCCCCACCTCTCCTGTCCTGCCATGGCCTGGTACGCCCTCTTGGGTTCCACCTTCACGAACCGTACTGGCAGTTCTCCTAATGGTCCCTCCTTCTTCCAGTACCGCGTCCGCAACTCTACCTTCTCAGTCCAGGTGCAGATCGACATTCCCACCGCAAACACCAACATTTCCCTCTCCACGTGCCTTTCTGGAGCCAAGAGCCCCAGCCTCTCAGCCATCCCCTTGCCTAGCATCACACTCTGTGCTCCCGTGTCTATGATGGCTATCTTCACCTTCTCCCCCTCCACCTCCATCGCTCCCTTTTCTAGTAGCAGCACTGAGGTCTGACACGCCAGCCTCTCCTACGGCTGGCGTGCCGACGGAACCTTCCTGCCCTGCTTCTACCTGCTGTCTTTCCCTCCGCTCCTCATCCCCATCTCCTCTCTTCCCCTCCATGCCATGAGTGCGCACTGCACGTCTTCTTCCACCTCTTCTCCCTCATCGTCTCTAGCATACATTCCTGCCTCGGCCCCCATCTTGGTCCTATTGCTCGCAGCTGCGCCTGCCGCCTACTGATCTACCGCTGCAGCTCCTCCAGGTTTCTCCTTGCTCCTCCTTCCCTCTGATAACAATCATTGGCTTCATGTCCCTTCTTCTTGCATATCTCACACGTGAGAGCATCAGAACACTCTCGCCTGCGATGGCCCGGCTTTCCACAACCATCACAGTTCTTGTAATCTCTGCGGATGTGCCCTAGCTGGCCGCACCTGTGGCATATCTTGGTGTCAGCTCTTGCCTCTCCTTGCTCCTCTGCCTTCCCCCTGGCCTCTGGTATCATCGCCGCTGCCCAAGTCGGCCTACGGCTTCTCTCTATCGGCCTCGGCAGGTAAGCCTCATATTTTCTCTGCGCGAGCTCCACCCTTTCTGCCAACTCAAACACATCATCCAGCCTCGCCTCCGCTCCCAGCTCATACACCCTCATCCTCAACCCGCCTCCCAGCGCCTCATCCAGGCCTCCCAGGAACTTACTGATGAGGAGGCTTCTGTCAGAGCATCTCACATCCTCTGCTATGTTGATCAGCCGATTGTAGTATCCTAGTAGCGATTCCACCCTCCCTCTCTTGAATTCTTGAGACTCCCTTATCCGCTCCGCCGTGTGCCCGGAAAACTGCCGCTGCGACCGCTCCAAGAATGATTCAGTGGGGTCTTCCCCGTACTTCCCTGCCCTCCACAACAACTCCTCCATCCTCATGCGGTACAAGGTTTCGGCTTCCCCTTCTAAGGTATTTGGCAGGCTCAGGAAGAAGTCTATCGGGTCCATGCCATTCCGGTCACAGTGGTACTTCAAATTTCCTACTTGCATCAAGTAGTTCTTGAGTGAAGGCCCTGACCGTTGATCGCCCGAGAACCTGGCCGGCACCTCCACTCTTGGTGCTGCAGCCGCGCCCCCCCGTCCCTCTCCCCACGCTTCACTCGCCCCTCTTGACGGTCTCCCATACATCCCCCCTTGCTTGGCTCGTTCCAGGCCTTCTCGAGCTTCTCGAGCCCGCTCAGGCCCGTACGCCAGGCTTCCGCTCCTGGCCCTACTCTCTTGCTGGTCTCCGCGCGCCTCGCCTTGTTGTCTCCACCGACTGTCCTCCCTTCCCGCCCGCTCCCACCGCAGAGCCGGCGAGTGGTGACTCCTCTCCCAATCTCCTCGGCGTGTCTCGTACAGTTGACGCCTTGCCGGGGATGGTGACCATTCCTCCTTTCCCCTTCCTTGCTGCCGATGGCCCGGCGGTAAG